CTGTTGCTGCTGTTGCTGCTGTTGCTGCTGGAGTTGCTGTTGCTGCTGCTGTTGCTGCAAGAGCATGGCGGCGAGCTGTGGATTGTTCTGCAAGGTGGATATGTCGATGCCTGCGAACATGGCGGGGTTGATGCCACCCATGGCCGGATTGGATGCATCCATGCCGGCGCCTGTGGGCTGAGGCTGCTGCTGTTGCTGGCCAAACATGCCGGCAAAGTTGTTGCCGAACATGTTGGGGTCCATGGCGCGCCAGGGAGCGTTTGGCGACGATGCAGGAGCGCGCGATGCCCCCGAGCGGAAGAGAAAGCAGAAGGCGAGCTTGCGCGCGATTCGGTATGCGAGCTGGATGGGGGCGCGATGCGGCAAGGCACGAGGCGCGGTTGGGGGTAAATGGGAAAGGCGAAGCGTGTCTAGAAGTGCGCGTGCGCGGGCGCGTGCTTGTGCGTGGATGGTGAATGCGGGCCGAGATGGGAGAGACGAGACGAAAGGCCGAGAAAGGAAACGCGACTGAAGAGAAGAGAAGAAAAGAAGACGATCGCTGGGCGAGGCAAGAAGGATGTGAGGGAGTAGAGTGGATGGCGACGACGGCCGGATCATCTGGCGCTTTGAGAACACCAACTGGCCGAGCTGAGGCCGTCCGTCTCTGCTCTTTGCTGCTGCTGCTGCTGCTGCTGCTCAACGCGCTCGACTCGAGCCGATTTCCAGCCAATTTCCAGGCGCGATTCCACTCTCTGCCTCGCGCTGCCTCGCGCTGCCTCGCGCTGCTGCCCTCCGAATGCGACGTGCGGAAATTCAACTGAGCCATCCTGAGCCAGTAGTCTTGAGCCAAAGCAGCTGCTGCTGCTGCTTCCATCCGCCAACGGAGCCGGCAGCAGACCACAGCATCGCCATCTCTCACTCGCAGCCAATTTAACGCGCCCTGTTTGGCTCGCCTCGACCGCTCCCAACAGCCGTCTTCGCTTCATCTTGGCGCCGTCGGCATGCTCATATCCCACAGCCACACAGAATCGATCCAAGTGCATGTATTGCACATTCACCATCGACTGCCTGCAGCCGCACCTCTTCCGCGATAGATGTGATCCAGCAGATCCTTGACCTTGGCTCCTCGGCTCTCGGCTGTCGCTGCGGTTGGAGGAGGATGCGCCTTGCCGCTACCGTCGCCATACGTGTGTCGGCCCGCCCCGTGTGGATCGTGTGCATGTACATCGACCACGCTCGCCTGCACGGGGTCCCAATCCGGATGGTTGGCCTTGAATCCGAGAATGCTCTGTTCCATCTTGCCCTCGCGCATGCCGTTGCGCAACTTGCTTTGCTGCCGTCGCTCGTTGGACCCGCTTCGCATCCCCCTTGCCGCTGCTCCGCCCATGGTGCTCGCCGTCGGCTGGCGCGCAAAGTTGAACACGGCAAACGAGCATACGTGCCCGACGCCATCGACGTGGATCGTGTACTTGCGGAAGAAATCGATCACCTCCGGTGCACAGCCGGGCAGCGACAGCCACAGCACAAACGGCGTCGTCACCACACTCAGCACCTCCTGCACAAAGATGAGGATCTTGAGCATATACAGCTGCCCGAACTCGCGATGCACCTCGGCCGAATGAAAGCGCCCCTTCCAATCCGGCGGCAGATAGTGCGTGTGTTGGATCACCTCGCGCAGCATCGCCTCGGGCTCGAACACCAGATGCTCGTCCGGAATCATCCCGCGCGCCACCGCCAGAATCGCCCCAAACACGCCAATGTAGAACAGCACGTTGCGCTGCGGCGTAATGTCGAAATGCAAAAACAGATCCGGATCAATCACCGACGCCAGGATGAGCACCGCCGTAAACGACCCGGCCACAAACGCCACAAAGCGCGCCACGATCGCCGTCTTCTCCTTGGGGAACTGGTCGATGTACTTGTGCGCCGGCGCATACGACGCGTGGCACCGGCGTCGAAACAGATGCGGCAGCTCGTTGAACTCGCGAAACTTCCACCGCGCATACTGCGTATACTGGCGCGACCCCAGATTGCTCGGATCCTGGTGGTACTCTTCAAAGTAGCGGAAGAACGAGTAGACCAGCAGATACACCACGATGAACGGCGCAAAAATCGCGTTGACCACCGCCATGAAGACGAACCGCCGTCGAAGCCCCTCGATCAGATCCGCCCTATACCGCTCCGACACAAACTGCGGGCGCACCTGGCCGTTGGCGTCAAAGAGAAAGCCGAGCAGGCAGAAGTTGAGGTTCCACTCGAGGCTGCGTGTAAGAGCAGGACTGCGGTTGCGCAGCCCAGGCACCGACAGGTCCAGGATATTCTCGTTGAACAGCGCGATCAGGTAGTTCTCCTGGCGCATCAGCCGATTCGCCACGTCGTGTGCGTCCAGCCGCTGCTCGCGCGGCGGCCGCAGCGAGGCGTTGGTGCGCTCGCCCAGCTCCATCTCGTCGGCCGAGCTGAGCGAGGTGTTGGGATGCTGCTCCCGCAGCGCCGAGATGCGGTTCACCACCTCGTGCCACGCGATCGACTGCACGTCGGCGTCCGGAATGCCCAGCAGCTGTTCGTAGAAGCGGTGCATCGCCGCGAGCCTCGACAGGCCGAGCGCAAACTGCACCACCTGCCACCCGAATGCCGTCACCAGCACCAGCACCACCACCGTGGTCAATGGAGAGAAGCCCGCGACGCAGTGGCCGACAATCACGTCGCCCAGCTGGCCGTCGTGCCGGATGGCCGAGTAGTCGATGCATCCGAACAGGAACGTCGAAAACGAGATGACGAACGCCACCGTGAGCAGATTGAGCGAGCGCGAGAGCGCGATGCAGATGGCGCCGCGCCCGACGTAGTAGGCGTACACCTCTTGCAGAAACGCATCCATGTTGTCCACGTTGGCCCACATCCATAATGCCTTTTGCTTGGCGCTCAGGCCGCCCACTGCAGAGGCGCGCGAGCGCGACGGCGAAGATGCGGTGCGTGTGCGTGTGCGTGTGCGTGATCGTGAGTGCGGCTGTCGCGTACTGCGACTCATGCTCTTGGGCAATAGCGACGACGAGGAGGGACGTGCCTCGCCGGCCAAGAGTCCGATTTCTTCATCCGAGAGCAGGTCTTCGGGATCCTGCTCGTCGTCATCGTCTTGCTCTTCAACGGCATCTGCTTGAGATGAAGTCCGAAGCGTATTGGACCGGATCGTGGTGTTCTGACCCACCGAGGCAGAGCTTGCAGCGATGTCCTGGTGGTACGATTCTTCGCGGATGTTGTCTGGCCGCGGGCGAGCGGAGGATGTATGGATGCTTGTGGATGGGTGGACGATGCGCGAGTGTTCAAAGATGGAGGATTTGAGGCTGCTGGATGGCGGTGGCAGCGGCTCGGGCCGATCCGGATCGGCGAATGGCGAGTTGAGATCCATGTCGCAAGCGGCAGCTGTTTGTTGCTGAAGGTGGTCGTAGGAGCGGTGGGAGCGGTAGGAGCCGTCTGGTCAGATAAGCGCATGCAAGGCGGCTCAAGGCTCAGCAGGTGGAGGCAGCAGCTGCGCCAATTCACGCATTGGGGGCATTGGACCCTGGCTGGCATGCTCGCGCGCACAGGACACCGCGGCGCCCACGGCCCCAGCTCAAGCTCCCAACATGTGTTCGATCTCACACTGTCTGCCTTTTTTCCGAAGCTTTGAGTCCACGTGATGAAGGATTTTCGTTCGCTCAGGCAATTTTTCGTGCCGCAGCCTCAGGCGCTCAGCTGAGCCATAAGAACAGGTGCCGGCCGCGTCCAACGCCTTGCTTCTTTTCCTCGTGCAGCAAACTTACGACCGCCTAGTGTTGCTCCCTCGGCCTGGGGCGGATGGTGTCATGCCATCCGCCTCAAAGCGTTTCCATGGCCACGAGGTGAGCGTCAATGGCGGTCAAGAGCAACTCGCGACTTCAGGGGGCCCGATCTTTTTCCGTTTGCTGGGCCCTCGCACCGTTTGCCTGGCAATGTCGGTCGTCTCTAGCAGGGGGCGTCCGTCGCCAGGTAGGTCCGCGATCCAACGTCTTAGCACCCGTCCTTGCATGCGTCGAGCGTGCAAGTGGGTCGGTGGTTGGCACATTCCGTCTTCTTCTTTCGCTCTCCCCTTTCACTCTTCTTGTCATCGCAATACAATCAGGTCGATCTCAGTTGCCCGGTCAACAAAACGATGCGATTGCAAAACAGAACACACGCCGACGACTATGCATACGTCTCGCTCAGACGCTTGGCGATGTAGTCCTTGGTCACTGTCGAAAGCAAGAGCGGATCAGCTTGGTTCGCTCTACGATTTGCGACGGGCGGCATGCGACTTACTGATGGGCTCGTACTTGCGCTGGCTGTCGGATCCAAACACGGGCAGCGATTCGATGAGCTGGTTCTCGTTGGGGTTGCAGAAGAAGGCGATCGAGTATCGTGTGGGCGTAAACTCTGCATTGGGATCGGCAGCCTGTGGAGCTTTGACTCTGTGCAGCGTGGATCGGAGCTGGTCGTTGGACCACCTTGCGAGCAAGTCGCCCACGTTGACCACGACAGTATCCTCGATCGGGTCGGCTGCGTGGTACACGCCCGTATGTGGATTCTTGGCCTCGAGCCCGCCGACGCCATCCTGGAAGAGGAGGGTGATGGAACCGTAGTCGCTGTGCTCTCCCGCGCGCGCCGAACCCTCTACCTTGAGCTTGTCTGCGCGCACGCTGGGATAGTGGAGCAGACGCAGCGTGTGCCACTCCTCGTTGCACTTGTCGTCGAAGAAGCTCGGTGCGAGGCCGAGACCGATTGCGATGGACTGCAGGACCTTGAGGTGCAGCTCGTGTGCGGCCGTCTGGAACGCGAGCATGGTGTCTTTGAACCGAGGCACGTCTGACTCGGTCGGCCATTCGTTCTTCCAGACGGCGTCGTGGTCGTTGCCAATCTCGAGCGACTCCTTGTAGTCGGGCGCCTGCTGGCGGAGCGCGGCGATCTCTTCCGCCGACGTGGCCTGGGTGACGCGCTCGCGCCCCTCGGCGACGTAGCCGCGGTTGGAACGCGGATCCTTCCATGCCAGCGCGTCCTTCTTGTCGATGGGCAGCTCGAAGAAGCGTGCCGACATGGCAAACGTCGCGTCGATCTGGTCGCGCGGGATGCCATGGTTGCGCAGGTAGGCGAAGCCAGACGACTTGAACGCATGCGTGAGCTCGTGCGAGGTGCGTTCGCGATCGGCAGGCGTGGCATCCGCGCGCACGAATGCCGAAAAGTCGATGACGGGGATGACGAACGACGGCGGCGTGGAGGTGCTGTGGGTCGCAAGCGCGCGACGATGCACCAGTGTGCATGGCTTTGGCTGCAGGAGTGTATGGTCGCAAAGTGGCCTTGGTCCCGGCGTAAAGTTGGTAGGCCGAGACGCCCGACAGAGTGAACGCAAAGCCGACGTGGACGCAGCCATGGCTGGGGTGGTGCGGATGGTCCGCGCCGAGCGTACCAGCGGTGCGATGCTGCGCGACCTCATGATTGCGATAGTTGCAGCAGGTTGTGATGGCGACAGTTGAAGAGGGGGCGAGCTATGACAGCGCCAGCTGTATTCGTCGTCTTGAAGACGGGGGGGCCCTTGGCACGCGACCAGGGCTCTCCCCGCGTCCTTTTCGAGGTGTGCTCCCCGCACACAAACACACATCCGCTCCTTGTCTCCGACAGTCAGCTAGGACTACGCCTCTCTCGTCGACCGACTGGTGACTAACTTGCTCAGCCTTGGCACTGTCTCGCTCTGCATCGGTGCAAATAGCCGCCCATCACTCAGCAAGCTACAGGCCTGGGGATCCAAGCCAATCGCGCGCCCTGAGGCCTTCAAGGGTCCAGCATTGTTTGCGCGGTGCGGCAGAGAAGCAAGCGATTTTAAGCGTTATCTCGGGCCTCCCGAACATCCGAACGCTAGCTTGCGCACAGGGCAGCTCTCCTTGGCTTTGCTTCTACGCCATCACCCTTTCCCTCGCAACGAAGCTACGAAGCAACGAAGCAACGAAGCAACGAAG